CAGAAACCTCCCAGCCAGCTTTGGCAAGAAACTCACTGGATGGGATTCATCAGTCAGTTCATTAATCCAAATGGTTGAATCAAGAGTCTCAAACTGATATAGTCTTAAGTATGTTCAAAACCCTTCTTATCCTTTTTGCTACTTCAGAGAAGGTGCCTGAGGTTGTTGTTTCAAGAGAATCTTTTTCAAGATGCCAACACATCAGACTCAGAGACTGAAAATCCTAGTTGAGTCCAACTTCTACCTCTAAGTCACTAAATAAACTCAACTAAATTACTTCACCTTTCTGAAATTCAGTTTCTTCAATTGTGAACTGGAAATAAAATACACATATCACAGGATTTTCTAAGGACTAATTGAAGGTTACAGTATTTGAGGATACTTTGCAGGCTATAAAGTACTTTATATGGCTATAAAGTAGGAGATAATTGTAACACAAATGCAAGAACTCAGGATGTTTTTCTTCTGTATAACCCTGTAAGCTTTCAAAACTGCCACAGCATGATAAATTATAGGAAAACATACTCTTAATCATAACATTTGCAAAGTCTCTTTTTTATTTTACATAAATACAGTAGGTACTCAGTGCTTGGGTGGAAGTATTGTTGGTTGGATGAATGGGAGAGACGAAGGGAGACAGCATATTAAAGTAAATAAGAGAGCTGTTCATGAAGTTTTAAATGTTCCTTTTTTAACATTCTTTTTAAACATTGCTTGATATGAACTATGTGTGTTACACTGAGGAGTGGGAGGCATTTAGTTCATTGAGTTAGTAAGCCTGTTTTTCTGCTATTTGTTTTTTAATTCAACAAACATTTATTGAGCAACTGCCATCAGTTGGGCATTGTGCAAGTTTCAGGGAAAACACAATTGATGATGTCACCATTTTTTTATGCCTGTTTTCTTCAGCTGCTACTTTTGCTCCTTTAACATTTTGAGGATTGCAGAATAAACTGACACTGGTATGGTCATATGTAGGGCCCCAGCAGTATTGAGGGCTGCACTTGTGTCAAAAATCACATCTTGTGAATTGTTTCCTGATGTACATGTGCAGCCTGTGATTCCTTTATGGATCGCAAAATATGTTTCTCCAGAAAGAAGAAAGCTCCTCCCACCTTTTCTTGCTTTTCCCTGCTTGTCTCTGAACCTCTTTTCTCGGGGACAGCCCACCAAAACACTGTGTGGCCAAAGGAAAAATAAGATATGTCAACTCTCTGACTCATGTGGTCTTGCAGTGAACATCAGCTATGCATGGCTGCTGAATGGGGGTGGACATTAGGCAGATCATAGAGAACCTCTCTTGAGGGGAAATCAGGCTAGTCCCGCCCAACATATATAATTTTAGGTAAGAAGACGCCTCAGCTCGTGTTTTAGGATAAGCTCTGTGTATATACTGAGAATGGCTGAGGAAGGACCTCCGTTTGTAATTCATTTCTCTCATTGTGGAGGTGAGAGAACCAGTTCAAACTTGTAGGCTATTTGTGGCAGAATTGGGGCTGAAACTCTTGTTTTTCTAACTCTTAGCCCATGGCTGTCACTGTGTTTCATGGTGAACTAGCACTTCCAAGTATGTTTTCATTATATAAGACAATTATAACATCATAAAGTGAGGAGTATAGAAAGAACATAAGCTTTGGAGTCAGACAGAACATGGTCAAATCCTGGCACTGCTTCTTAAATCCGTGTGGCCTTGGGCAAGTTACCTGAACACTCTGTTCTTCTGCTTCTGCATCTATTAAGAGGAAGAAAGAATGTTTACCTTTTATGGATGTTGCAAAGATTAAATGAGAGAACATTCAAAGAGCTCAGCACAGTACCCAGCCTATCTTTGATGTTGATATGTTTACTAGAAAGGAAGAAAGAATCTAATTGTCTCTTGAGAGGGGGTTCAGATGAGGATGATAATGATGGTGATGCTGGTGGTGGTGGAGAGAGTGATGGCGGTAGTGATGATGGTGACAGAGCTACCATTAAACATCTCTTTTTAAGTATTTCTGCAATATCACAACAGCCATTTGATGTTGTTATTTTCCTCATTTTATAGCAGATCCTTCTGTCTCCAAATTCCACCCTTTTCTCATAATAGCACACTAGTTCTCAGGTTCTAAGTCTAGATATAGCAACAATGAATCTGCCAACCCAAGAAGAAACAAATGAATATTCCCTACAAATTTCTGGTTCCTTCATTTTAATTCCCTTTTAGTATTGAATGACCCTGTAACATTAACTGCCTGTACTTTATATGTGTGCAACCGGTAAATGTGGGTGATTCTCAGGAATTCCTTGAACCTATTTATGATACTGTGGACCAGCTGTGGCCAACTCCTTTTTTTGTCAGGGATCTCAGAATCAATGTATTTAAGATTCCAATATTTTGAGTTGTACAGATAAGTAAACATTGACTGCCTGGCTGTTGGATTTTTATCTTAGAGAAAAACCTGTGAGTCTTGGGGGCGAAGAACCAGCACTTTGGAATCAGATTACCTGAATGTGAATCACAGCCCTATTCCTTGTGAGCTGCATGACCCTGATGAAGTTACTACTCATTTCTAAGCTTCGGTTTTCTTACCCATAAAATGAGGATAATACTAATACCAGTCACATTAGGTTGTTGTAAGAATAAAATAAGACATGTATAGAAAGAGCATGTAAAAAGAGCTCACTTAAAATGAGTTCATATCTTGGGTCATTCCAGTACAAAAGCCTTTGTGCCCTGAATGGAGAATCGTATCACTCAGGATCCATCCAGCAAAACATAAACCACTCTAAGTGTTTAAAAAATAGGCAATTTAATACCCAAAAATGGTGATCCTGATGATGGAGGAGCTGAGAAGAGCTACATTCCCTATGAAGCAATTCAGAGATCAGTGAAATGGAAACGGCTACCATCCCCAGGCTGGAGGGACTAAGGAGGGAGGTGGTGTTCCCATAGTCTAAAGGCAGGGGACACCAGCAGATGCTGGAGCCATAGCGGCCCTGTCAGCACAGCCCGAGTGGTGGAGGGGAAACAGCTGCTGCCTGGCACAGAAGAGAAGTAAATAGGCTCTTGCTTCCCTTTCCCTCCAGGCCCAGATCTCCCAGCAGGGCCAACCTTGGCTGACTTGAGTCTGGGAACTGCTGCCTGCAGGGGCAGCCCCACAGTACTGAGCAGAGCAGGGGACTTGATCTGAAAACACATAGGCCAAGGATTCTTGCAGGCAAAAGTCTCAGACCTGTATTGCCTGGTTGTGGATATCTAACTACCGGGTGATAACTAACACAGAAAGTTTGGAAGAGTCTTACTTCCCCCTGCTGCTAGACCTCTGAACAATAGCAGAGGTTCACAGGTTGCTGTGCCCCAGAAGGTAGAGTCTGGAAAAAGCAGTGGAAAACCCTCGAAAGCTGTAAGAACCCTGTCTCTGGCCTTTTTCTCACATTACTTTCTAGCAAGGGCTGCTGCTGAGCAGCCAGTGCCTTCAGTATCTGGGGATTTGTGGCCTGATGAGACATTCCTACCCTGCCATTTACCTGGCTAACTTCTGCAGAATTGAGTATAGACTGAACTTCCTTGGGCCCCTATAGGTGGGTTAGCTGCCCTTGCGGCCCCTCCTGTGATATACTGATTTCCCTGCACTGAAATGCTCCATTTAGGCTTCCCTCTCCTTCCCACCAGACTGTGAGCAGGGACTTCTCTTCCTCATCCTTGCATCCTCAAGCATTGGTACTCCTGCTTCCTGCACTGAGCTAGCTACTGTGATAGGTCCTGGGCTAAGCATTGGAGTAAGAGTACCAGCCCCTAGCAACTTTTATTATAGAAGGAAGGCAGATGGGATATATGATGTTTCAAAATTACCAGTGTATTTTGTGCTAGGGAAGTCCAGTGCATGACACTATTTAACAGGGAGAATCATCTGTCCTAGAGGATCAGGGAAGCCCTGTCAGTAGGAACTGGCCTGACAGAGAGGTTGGGGGAATGGCATTCCAGGCAGAGGAAAGAGCAAATGTGAAGGTCTTGAGGTGGGAAAGAGCATCGAGGATTAGAGATTGAGAACAAACATGGCATTGCGTGGGAGCTGATGAGGTCAGCAGGAGCTGTTCTCTCCTGTGTCCCAGTCTCTGCGTCCTGCCTAAGCACTTTCTACCCCCAGCTTTGTGTTGTAGTTCTGCGTGTTTGCGTGTTTGTGGCTTCCACATCACACTTAGTATATATCGTTTTGTCCATAGAAGGGACTTGTTGGATATTTGAGCAAGTGAATACAATTCCAGGCCCTAAACAGTCTTCCTAGCTTTCTTGTCACATTTGTAACATCAGTTGCCCTGCAAGTATCAAGGAATATGAGCCCTATGGGGAAGAAGCCTAAATTTCTACCATTTATGGGAAACCCTCTGCTATTTGGCATTCTGTTACTAGGAACTGGCTCTCAGTCATCTCCTTCACACTTGGAGTTCTACGATAAGTAGTTATAAGAATGGTGACCTAGGGATGCCAAAAAGATTCAGTCATCAGACAGTTAGTTCCTTTGCTTTGACTTCTTTGGGATTGAGATGTGATGTGTTAAACCAGATTCCATTTGGCTGTGCTCCTTCCTAGCAGTGTGGCCTTGGGCAAGTCAGTTAACCTCTGCAGACTTTCGTTTCTCCTCTGATGTCTGGCATTATTAATATCTATAATGGGGTTAAAATGAGACCATGTATGCAAATATGTAGCATAGTGCCTGGTATTTAGTGAGCACAAAGTAACTGATAGCTGCTGCTTTTGCTATGACAATTACAATTACTGCCATTATGATAATGTTGGGTGCCATACATTGACCAGAACAAAGCAAAATCCGAGCAGGCTTCTGAGTTTTCCCATGCAGGCAAGTATGCCCTTTGGGTTTCTGCTTGAGACTGCCCTACACACAGGACTCTTCCTCCGTGTTGTTTGACTATGAAAAAGATCTGTTAATGCTTGTTTTTAGCTTTCTCTCCCTCTTTTTTATGTGTTAAAGAGGATTTGTTTTTGTTTTCCTTTCTCACAGGAGTGATTGGGGCAGATGTGAAAGGGCACGGCCTTGTCTGTGAGGGGCAGCCAGTGACGTCACGGCTGGCTGTCATCTGTGGAACGTCTTCTTGTCACATGGGGGTGAGTCCACTAAGCACAAAGGCAAAGCCACCACACAGCAGGCGGCAGCCTGGAAGAAGACCCTGAGTGCTGGCTCCTTCACCCCTTTACTTCTTTCCTCTCTTCCCTTCCTGCCCCCTGTGCTTTGTCTAGCCAGAAGCTCAGCTCCCCACTCCACCTCCCTTGCTTACATTTGCTGGATCTTTTTCCAGGGGCCAAATTCTTAGTAAGCATGAAAAGGATTGAGTGCTCCGTTTGACGTCACCCTGGCCAGAGAGCCCAGGCATGAATGGTGACATCTGATCCTAAGGTGACAAAGTCTAGCTCCCCCAGACTGATCTGTCTCTAATGGGTAGGGGGGTCTTCTCTGCAAAGAGTGTCTGTTTTCCTTGGCCAGAGAACTCTCTCTCAATCAATATAAATCCATCTCCCTGGGAGCGTCCTGATGATCTATAGAATTAGACTGCATATCATGACTTCAAAAGAACACTGATAAGCAATTTTCACTTTGTTAATTTTTCTCCATGAATTAGTGGAAAGGCTTTCTCCAAGATTGCAGTTAAAATTTAGTGCCTGCCCTAAAATTTATATCTTCTTTAAATGCATGAGTCTGAAAGCATTCCATTCCGATAAGTACCCATTTCTACCATATTTTTATTTAAAAGTCATTACTCTGTTAAACTTAAATCGACGACTCTTTGGAATTTTCCCAGATAAGTGAAATAGAGGGAAGAGTGGGGGAGGAGCAGGGAGATGAGCAGAGATTAGAGTGGGACACAGCCCAGGGCAGAATCAAAGCAGCTATGGAGGAAATTATGTGGGATGTGAAACTGTTTTGCAACTGTAGGGACCCCTGAGCCTCTCTACCATCGGATATTCTGGTTCAGTGAATATAAATATATGTACTTATTTGTCAATCCCTGCTCTTGTGCTAAACTGTGGATATAAGAATGACATTGGCTGTCCCACTGATGAGATGAAGTTATAACAGGTATTAGAATATAATGCGAGGCCCCCCAATGTAGATACAAATCGATCTCATGATACTAAGCATCTGTCACGTGCCAAGCAATATGCGAGGTATTCTTGCACATGGCATCCCATTTTGTATGGCTGAGGGAGTCAGCTCGAGTGGTTTCCAGTCCCACTTCCTCAGTTTACTAAGTGTGGGCCTTTGGGCAAGGTACTTAAACTCTCTGGGCCCCAGATTCCTCATCTGCAATATGTGGAGAGCGACAGCACCTGTCAGAGTGCTGCAAGAATTAAATGAGGTAATACTAAGTGTTCCACGTGCAGTAAGCACATCCCAAGAGCTCACTCTTAATCACTAGGACTGTTGTTGTTACTGAGCAGAAAGCAAACAGTGACTGACTGCCTGGGAGGGTGCAGGGTGATAGAATCTTCTTGAGATGACATTCCTGCTGGACTTTAAGGATATAGATTTCCTTCTGTTTGTCAGGGCTCTGGGCAGTCTTGAATGGAATTTGTCTAAGTTTTAAAATTGCAGCATATTTGCCTGGGCACAGTGGCTCACGCCCGTAATCCCAACACTTTCGGAGGCCAAGGTGGGTGGATTATCTGAGACCAAGAGTTCAAGACCAACCTGGCCAACATGGTGAAATCCTGTCTCTACTAAAAATACAAAAAATTAGCCGGGCATGGTAGCAGGCACCTGTAATCCCAGCTACTTGGGAGGCTGAGGCAGGAGAATTGCTTGAACCCGGAAGGCAGAGGTTGCGGTGAGCCAGGATTGCGCCATTGCACTCCAGCCTGGGCAACAAGAGCAAAACTCCATCTCAAAAATAATAATAATAATTGCAGCATATTTCTTCTGCTCAGCAGCCCTTTTGTAAGGCTCAGCTGTCCCTGAAGGGAGAGATCTGCAGAGGCCTGAGGCCTCTTTAAGCCAGAAGGCACCAGCCCAGGAGCCAGCCCTTCTTTCCCTTGATATGAGTCTATACTTGTTAGATTGTCTTCACTGAATACTGATTTAATCCTGTTTAAATTATCTCTTATTTTCACAGGGATGCATCTAATCAGGCTTCTCCTGGGAGATCTGAATTTCAGGCATTTTTATCCCACTCAATTCAGATTTCCGAACAGAAGCAAATCTAAGTGGATGCAAGTGTCTCTGTGATGGCCTGCTTCTCAGTCTTACTGTCTCTTAATGGAGATGAGACTGGCTTTCCCTACTCATTTATTTTACACATTTGGGACCTAAAGCATGGAAAAGTCCGGTAATTTTCCCAAAGTCACAACAAGCTTTGAAGTTCTGGAGCTAAGAACTCAAATCTAACTCTGATTCCAAAGCTCCTACTCCTCCTTTCCTCCCTGAATTGTGCATGAGTATGATGTACCCATAGAGGAATGGTGAGAGCATGGGCTTTTACATTGTCCAGAGGCAAGCTTGAACATCTGCTCATGCACATTTTGGCCCTCTGACCTGAGTAAGCTACTTAACTTCTCTGAGCCTCAGATTCTTCATCCATCAAATTGGGGATAATGATGCCAGTCTCACAGGGTTGTTGAGTAACATGCACTATGTAGATTTGTACCTAGCACACAGCAGACACTCAAAAATGGTGGAGATTGTTATTAAACTTTCCTAGTGATGTCAACGGCTCACATGAAGCAACTGTTTGGGCTTTAACGAGTTTGATGGGCAGCTGCAGTTGGTTGCCATGAATGAGGGCCATAAAATGCCAGTTTATGATGACCGTGTTGGGCTTGAAATACAGTCCCCACCCCCAGCCTGCTTTGTACTTGGGGGTGGGAAGGGACCCTCTGGGCCAAGGGGATTAATCATCAGCTTTAATGTTGTGTCATGAGGGCGAGACTGTGGTCATGCTGGCATGGGAAAGTGTCTTTGATCTCCTCAGGTGCTGGGAGCCCAGCAACAATAACACCTTTGTTAGGTCTAGGAGAGGTGCAGGTCTGAGGAAACACTCCCAGGGAGACTCAAGGACCCCCTTTGTTGTGGTTCTGGCAAATAAAACCGCCAGTGTGAGGAAAAATTTACCAAACAGAACACAGGGACCAAAGGGGGCTGTGGGTTCTTCAAAAAGTGGTTTTCAGCCTGATCTGAAGGATCCTCTTTCTTCCTGTCTGCTCACTTCTGATGTTTCCAGTTTAGTAGATTGAGACAAAATTCCCAGGAACATTTTGTACTCGATCCAGGTTACCTCTTTCTAGATCACCCAAAAAGAATAAATGAATGAACGAATGACCACGTAAGTGAGTACTGGTAAATACTTAGAAGCTTCCTACCTCCAGGTTCCTGTTGCTTCCAGGAATCTAGAGAAAAAGCCTGAGGTTGAACATAAGACATATTAATAAGGCCTTTGATATTTTAGAAGATACAAGCATGGCTGCACATTTATCTTCCTTGTGGATGATTTAATTAACAGGGGGGAAACTGCCGTTCTTTTTTTAACTCCGTGAAAGCAGAGCTGCTTGTTCAGAGTTAATTACTACCAAGTCACCAAAACCCCAGATAATACACAGCAGGGGTTAGCCAGAGGTTGAAAAGTCATGGGGTAAGATAGAACTGATCCTTACCATTGCACCAGCACCCTTTTCTTGAGCCATCAAGTTGGGTTGTAACTTGGCAGCTTGTCTTCCAGTTAGCATGTCAGATGGGGAGAGGACCCTGGGGGGTCGGGGTAGGGAGAAACACTGAGGAGGTAAGATTTGAGCAGAGCAATACTTAAAGAGAGCTGGGAACTACATCTGCATCTTAAATCACTCAGAACTGAAGTTTTTTCAGTCTTAATGTAGAGATGGTGATTCTCTATCATTGAATAGATGTGGAGACTCAAAAGACATAGGCTCATACGCTGCCCCCACTACTTACTGTGTGAATTTAGGCAGGATGCTTCATCTTTCACTGCCACAGTTTCTGCATCTGTTAAATGTGAGTGATAGTATTTACCCATAAAGTTTTGTTCAGGTTCAAATTAGACCATCTTCGTAAATGACTTGGCACTGTACCTGGCACAAAATACCAAATATGATATTGTTATTAAAAATGAGTTGTTAATCATGCATGAACAATCCATGTGATTGTGGATTAGAATTAGAGACATCAGTATGAACTCATATTTAGTTTAACATAGATGCAGATGGATGCATATAGACATAGTTATGGATATATATACATATACAGGTTAGTAAATATGTATTTATTTCCTAGCTCTGTTAGCTGAGATGGCCTAGAAATAAGGACACCCCAAGAGCTAGTTTTTATAAGCACATAGCGTCCAGATCATAGTGTCTAATACTATTATCCAATACAAAGAACCAGGACTCCTTGGAGAAATGGTTGATTTTAGGATTGGGATAGGAAATATACAAGATGAGCTTGGCACATTTGCAGTGCCAGAAAGTTAGGAAGTTCTCCAAAAAAAAAAAAAAAAAAAAAAAAAAAGATGAGAATATGTCACAGGGAGCCAACTGCAGGAGCTCCCAGTGGCCACAACTGGAACCATTTAGCAGTAAAATAAAGTATTATGAATTATAACCCAAAGTATAACATAAATATCCATAAGACCATACTGACATAAATTATTTTGAATAAATAAATAAATGAAAAGAAGAGACACATCTCCTATACAGAAGAATTCCAATAATTTATGTAAATGTTCCACCATCAAATAGATAGAGCATAACTTTCCACTCCTTAAGTGTGGACTGCACCTAGCGACTTCCTTCCACAAAATATGGTATGGAAAATGGGGGAAGAGTAATTTTACATTGGAGAAATATGAGAAACACTCAGTCATCCAGGTGACAAGGTCAACATCAACAATGATATGTCATGTTGATAGTATGTACCCTTGATATGATGTAATGAAAATGACACTTTGTTGTGTTCATCCCCAAATCCTATCAGCCCAGTCTTATTACCAGAAACACACCAAATGGATCTTAGTTGAGGGATATGCTGTAAAATACTTGACCAGTATTTCTCAAAACTGTCATCCAGGTCATCAAAAAACAGGGAAAGTCAGAGAAACTATCAC